TTACTAAAATACTGCAAATGTGTTAAAGACCACAGAGGAACTTTTATATAATAAAGATGCTTTATATCATTATTACATTTTATTTAAGTAAATTCGAAACTTAAATGACACATGCATTAATCTTTAGTCTAAAATGTATATGGAATAAATATCATATATAAATATAAATCTTCCAGTAGCATAATGTCAGTAAATGTTCCAGTAATACGGACTCACTAGAGCAGATGACTCCAACTTCTCGTCTATGAGAACATTCAGCTCGACTCCATGAAGAGATGGAACATTCTGAGAGTTTTGTTTCATTCCCGTCACAATCAAACACATCAGCCCAGATTTCACCAATTCCCTCTCCAAACCAGTCTGATCCCACAACAGACACAGCAATCCCACAATTCAGCTGTTTACAGAGGATACTGGCAGCTCTCATTTCCCAGCATGCATCACACACTGTTCCCCACTCATTGAGAAACTGAAGCTCCACTCTTCCAGAACAAGAGTCTGAACCGTTTTCTAGTCTGAGATCAGTGTAACCTAAATAAAGAAGAGAGAGAATATAAATAAAGCATAATCCAGTTGACTAAGGCCATTTACCATCCTAAGATCAGTGTAACCTGGACAGACAACACAGTTCTTACTGAAATCAAATACAAAAAAAATAATAAAAAACAAAAAAACAAGAGAACAGAGATAATCTGAGTAATTCTGTGTTCTAATCTCTGATTAATATGGTCAAATATGTCAGAGTGTGGTATTGATCAATCTAATTAGTTTTAGTTTTCAACAGTTGGAACTGGATTCTTTAAAAAGAGGGTAAATATTTTACCAGAACATATCAGTCCTATGTCATTATCATGGGTACAGCTTATTTGAGCTGAAGTTGACAATGAACAGCGTCGCATGTGTGATTCGTCTCATCTGCACTGAATCGAAGTTGACAATGAACAGCGTCGAATGTGTGATTCATCTCCTCTGCACTGAATCTTATGTGTCCACATCTGAGCGTCTCCTTTGCCAAAAGCAGCTGCTCCCAGCACCTGTACAGGAGCCCCACAGTTCAGCTCTCTACACACAACCTCTGCATCCTGCTGGTCAAAGGCAGCGGCACACACTGTGTACCATGTGTTCCCCTGAAGAATTTCTAATCTCCCAGAACACAGGTGAAATCCATTAACGAGTCTGGGGTGGCGACCTGTGTTTATATTACATAAGTAAATATCAATATAACAAAATGTGTGATGCTAATTAATTAATTATTGAGATAAACATCAGTTCCTTTAAATAATTTTTTATAATAAAACATTTAAAGAAATTAGACTGTCTTACCTAAGCATTTGACTCCAGCATCTTCAGTATGACTACAGTCACTAACACCCCATCCTCCTGATGCACAGTTCTTCAGTGTAGACTCTGATTCAGTACAGGCCACATCATCCATCCAGATTGGTCCTGATCCTGGTCCAAAGTGAGCCTCACCCAGAGCCTCTACAGCCTCTCCACATCCCAGCTCTCTACACACCACTTTAGCATCAGTCATATCCCAGTCATCATCACACACTGTTCCCCACTGACCATCATGAAGAACCTCCACTCTACCACTGCAGGGACTGTTACCACCAACCAACC